GGGGGGGGGGGGGGGGGGGGATGCTTGTCCTTACCTGTGCATATGACCCAGGGCCTTCCCCGTAAATTCCTTCACCCCCGCCGTGGCTCTTGTCTTCACCGACTCCATATCCAGTTTCTATGTGTAAGGCCTATTTCTTAGTATTATTTTACTGCTTAATCGTCATGTTACGGCGCAGGATGGCCGACTGCAGCGGCTACAAGGGGAAAACAACAAACGAAGTTATAATAAATCGAGAGTCCAGGGAGGCGACGATCCAAAACGAACGAGCCTAAATGTTCACAATGAAAGCGCTGAGGCGAAAACACCTTCGCGTAAAGAAGGGGAGTCAAACGAGCTGCGCGCCTTCATCCACCACCAACTCATCTCCTGCCTGGCGTACAGTAGCCGCGCCAAGTGCCATCACGACGAAAACAAAAAGGAGTGAAATTGAAAAGCCAGCGTCGTAGAGCGGTGGTGGACCCGTGTCCCGCAACAATAACAGAAAAAAAGGAGAGAGGGAGAGAGGGAGCGGGGGGGTGAATGGAAAAAATAAAACAGAAAAGCTCAAAGTTAAGCAGAAGTGGGTGTTTGGAGTGGCTTCAATAAATCAAAGAGGGAGTGAGGCTGTATCGTGTCTCCTGTGGTGAGCGCAGGTTCATCTGACGTCGTGTTCAGCACCGAGGTCAGCGACAGCAGCAGCTCCGCGTCCAACATCTGGCCAGCTGCAGAGCTCTAATGAAGGCCAGAGTCAAAATATTACATGCTAATGAATATATATGTTCATTATTATTAATTTCATAAAAACACATTGGGGGAAATGTTTTATAGTTTAATCCCTCGCTTTACGTCGCAGTCTGAATGATGTGAGATATAATACACCAGTATTTCGATCATATATATTTCTATTTGGTGTTTTTATGCTTAAAAAGTATTTATTTTAAAACAAGGACAGTCAACCCTATATATGAAAGCTGCAGCTCTCTGGAGGGCGGTGCTATGGAAACCAAATGAGCAGGAGTGGATCCCCCCCCCCCCCCAACAAGCTCCTCTTCTCAACGTAGGAATCCATCAATAATTTAAGCGTCTCCCATATTTTCATCCCCCCTGACAACCACATTTTCCCACAGAGGCATGGGCAAAAATTAGGAAGCATTTTTCTTTTATATTTTATTTAGTTTCAGATATCTGGTATTAGATTTGAAGGAGATATCATCTAAAACATAACTGTCCTTCTGCAGCATTTGCAGACCAAATTTGGCTAAATGGCTACAAGGCTTCAACTAGTAATGGTTATAAAACAAACATGAATAAATAATAATAATAGAAGTTTAAGATGTAGATCTTAGATGTGTGGTTAGAGGACAAAAGGGAAAGGAGAAGTGTCTTTTTTATCATTTGTTGGTATTGGCCACCATCTGGTGCTCATACATGGTACTGCACCTTGCTCTTATTGTTTTCTCCTTTGAATGATAACTCTGAGCCGATTAGTAATGAATTCTGCTCTCCACTCTCTCTAAATATATGTATATATATATATATACATATATATATACATTTAGTTTTTGTCTTAAAGTTACCCTCCATTCAAAAATGTGTTGCTTATCTTGCAACCTTGACTGTGCAGAATTATGTATATGCATTGTTCACACTAGCAGGCTGTTTTCATATTCATTTGTAGATTTCTCTGTGTTCACATAAAGTTTAAGAAGCTTATGTACAAGCAAGACTGGTGTCTACTAGTTTGGAAACAAATCACTGTCCAGTATGCTACTTACACATGTGATTTTGGAAACACTGAAAATTGACTTTTCAGTGAAGTAGGAGACATCTAGTGTCCAGTAGTTAAACTTTTGATGATGAGCAATATTTACATATTCACAGATTATTCAACAAAGAGAAGGAATAGACAGCAGCAACATTTTTGTGGAAAACAACACTAGACACTAATCATTATTCGAAGTAGAGTCTTTGTATATGTACTTAAACATGTCCAGATGGGATCTTTAAGTCCGTTAATAGATAGGGACTGCTGAAGATAGACAGGACAGGGGGAGGCAGGTCGTGCAGTAAAGGGCCACAAGGTGAAATCAAATCCCGGCCGTTGCAGTAGAGACTTAGTAAATGGGGTGTGAGCTGTACCAGGTGAGCTACTGGGCGGACTGAAGTCCATGCCCTTTTTTACCTCCTCTGTCACATCACACCTGCTTTACTTTGTCAGTCAGGTGAATACAAGACAGCAGCCAAAGGACTCAAATGCAGACAATCCCAACAAAAAAGAACAGTTCAGTGATTTATTAAAAATGCAGATGCATAAGCTTATTACGAACTGATGCAACTGAGGATCCATGGGTGAACTGGAATCGAAGGTGCAGGCAGGCAGGTAGATTATAGGGTTCAGGTTCAGGTTTCAGAGGCAGGGGGATGATTGGGGAATGTGACACAGATTAATAGGAGGATGTGGGATTAAGGTGACCAGGACTGATGGGCAAAGTCTGAGGGCATCTAGTGGACAGGTGGAGAATAGCAGTAAATCTTAATAGAGAAACAGGGGCATGGGGAAGTGGCTGAGAGGAGGGACAAAGAGGGAGAATGGGCAAGTATAAACACAACTGAGGTAGACATTTTGACATTGTTACCTGTTTTTATGGTGTTGTATAGCATATGTGCAAAGAAAACTCACACTGAAAGTAGTTATTGTTTCATTTATTGTGAATAATAACAGCTTTACTTCATTTCTGTACAATAGGCTACAGTGAACTTGGAATGTAACTGACTAAATAGTTACATAACAGAAATTCATGCCATCAAACCAGACAAAACTACTACTACTTTGCAACAACGAACAGCAGCAACAGATGATATTAAACAGGTTATGAATTCAGATAGGAAATTTTCTCTTTACAAAATTATACAAAAACAAGTAAACACAGACGTTTAAGGCATTTGTTGGGAAGTAACATCATGCACCTTGCAGGGTCATGCTCTAACCTTCTGCATGTCTGACATCTGCATACTGTATCAACAAGTGATGCTCAACAAACATTAGAAGATGTTTCATCCTGAGATTTGAGTAAGCCAGGTTTAGTTTTTCACTGTCAAATATAATTTACTGATAGCTGAAATCACAAATGCATCATTTACAGTGTAAATTACAAATAGGTTTTATCATAAACAGAAATATCTAAATGCGTGTTAGGCTTAAGAACATTTAAAAAATGGTACTGTATCTGATAAATGCCTGATGGTGTTTGTCTCCCACAGAATGTGTAGAAGGAGCTTTTTCCTTCTCTGGTCCCTTGACAAATTAGTAATATATAGTAACTATTTAGTGTATTTGAAGAGCAATCTGAACTAACACTGCTTGATAGTCATTTATGATGATGTGAAACAAAATAAGAAATTAGATGTTGCAGTAAATGTATTAAAAGATCTTAAAAAGAGGATTATGAAGTAACTTAAGTAACAGAGCAGAAGCAGATCAATAAATTAATTGCACTACAACCCATTTAAATAGATAGCATATTCTCTATATCTACAGCAAAACTTAGTAACCAGCTAGAGTCACCCAAATCCTCACTCTCGTGTATCCCCACCAAGGTACAAGCAGTTCTTCTTTCGGTATATCTCTACAATGAAGCATACGATTGTTTATGTCCATACTATATGGAGACACCAATAATGTGAAACAGATATATATATTAATTATCTACGTGTAACAAGAGGAGGGGTAAAGCCGACACATGAGCGACTCTGGTGCACAAATCTGTCCTAAAACAGAATGTCTGTCAAGAGATTGTCCAACATTTTTAACATGTAGTTGTTTTATTTTATGATATGATAGAAATCTTATAATTGGTCCCGTAGCAAGTTGGAAAAACATGAGTCTGCAGCTGCTATTACTGGTGCAGTCCCTAACTCAGGGTGGGACAGTGCAATTGCAGTACGAGGGAGGTACTTGGTTCTCAAATGCACAGTTTATAAGAGCTTTACTCCAAACGAAAAACACTCACAATAACTAAGCTGCCAATCTTATAGCCCAGCTATAGATCAGAACATTATGTAGCTACAAATAAAAAAAACATTAAAAGAAACATAGTGCAGCTGTCTGAAGAATAAGCACCGCCTATTAGTTTTTTAATATATAGATGTGTTTTGTGTTAGATATATTGAAGATTTATGAGAATTTGAGTGTTTTCTACATTCATACTTAAATGACAGAAAAACATAAGCGATGTATAACATATATTCCTAAAATGATATATATTGTTTTTACCAACAACAATTACCATTCAAACAGTTTTACAGTTGACACATACAGTATCTTCCTGTCTAAACAGTTGAGTCCTTCATCTTGTATTCTCATTAGAAGAATCACATGCAGAAAATTAAATAGGTGATATCATAACCAATTCTTTAAAGGGAAAACTACACATAATGTCACATGTTCAACACCATAGACGTTGACTCTGTTAGCACATACAGAGATTATTCTCATGATAAATGGAGAGTTAGAAGGCATTACATGGGGAATGGTACAAGCAGTAGTTACAATCTTTTTTACTCTTTGCTATTATTTTCCATTACCAACACCTTTAAGCTGTTTGTTTTTTGGCACAGAAATGTTTTTTCCACTCACGGAGCTGATTTTAAGCAAAGAGAAATGTTGCACTGCATTTTTTCCTGATGCCTCGCTATAGATGCTAACACAGGAGTCCATTCAGAAAAGAAAAGATAATAGCGTTTTTATCCCAAAGACAGGAGCCCTTGTATGTGAATGTTCTCAGTGAGGAGAAAACTCCCAGGCATGTCCATTCTTGGCTTGGTTAGTTGGAAGTGTGGAGCAGAAGCTACAGGCACTCAGACAACACTTCATGCTTGTCTGCCACTAAGGACGTTTCTGACGGTGGCTCTGTCATGAAACTGGCACTCAGCTGGAGTTTGAGCCTCTCCACCTCGTAGTTGTGCAGGTACTCTTGAATCAGGTAGCGTTCTCGTTTAATCCGCGCCTTAACATCTGACGGGACGTCTGGGATCATCCACGCCACAAAGAACTTCACCACAAAGACCACATGCTGCAGATTTGGTAAAAGATATAATCAGTTTCCTACATTAATTCTGAACATTTTTTTTTTATGTAAGGAGATGGAGGAAAAGCTGAGTTGTCTTACTTCCATGATTATAATGAAGGCCATTTTGGCTGCCAGGATGTGCCAGAACTGCATGGTATGAGTGTACTCCCTCTCGTGGCCTGGAGGGTAACGGTAGTCACGGTATCTACAACAAGCAGAGGGGCATCATAAAATCAGTAATGTTTCATTCAATTAATGTTGTTGTGTTTTGGGTGCAATTTAAATTTTTAGCTCAACATTCACGCTTCTTTTAGCTCTGTTTTTGGTTCACCAGCTAGTTGCTAACTTTGTTTGTTTGTTTATCATAGTGTACAGTAGGTTTATCAGAGCTTTTTTTGCTGAAAACAAAACGCCTGCTGCAGCCTGGTAACAATGCTATGAGACCTGTCAGGCTGAATCAAAACAGTAGTGTTTCAGGCTATGAAACCAAAACAATAAGTTAAAAGATGCTAAAACGCTCTATACACCTGAGGAGAACAACAGAGTCTGGTGAGAATTTGTCACTATGAGTGACCCCCTTTCACATGACACAGTCATTTGACCAGTTTGACCATAAATACTGATCAATGCTTTAAATCGCCAGATGCATAACAAGCTCTTTAAGCTCTAATACCTGCAAGTGGTAGTTGAGTTATCAAACCAGTAGTCTTGTTCCTCCGGCATGTTTTCTTCAGGTATCCGTGAGATGTTGTATATTGACAGGCTGTTGTTAACGTAGCCCCTCATGCTGACTCCTTTACCATTGGCATACAGGTAGACCATGCGGGGGATCATGTCTGAGGTGAACGCCATTATGAAAGCCTGGGTCAAAAGTAAGAACAAAGGCCTTTCAGTAAAACTGCTGTAAAAATGTTTTTCACTTGATCAGGTCATTTTTAGGTCATTCACAGCACTACAATTTATAATCCAAGAAAACATACTCATATACTACTACACATATAATACCCACATTGGTAACAACAGATAAAATGGCCACTGCGTTGAGGATTTCTTGCCACGCTCCAATGTTTCGGGCCTTGGATGCCACTGGTCGTCTGAACTGGGTGGTGAACTTCCAGGCGTCCACCCTGATCTCTAGGATGTTGTTGAACAGAGCCAGGAGGGGAGCCAAGGGGAAAGATGCCACAAACAAAGTGATGAAACCAAACTGGACCACTGAAATGACAAAGCAGAGCAGACAGGGAGAGTTAATGATAAAAAATAGTGGAACATGTAATTTATGGATAGAAAAGAAGACAGCTGTTGTCTCATAAAAAGTGATTTGTAATATATATATATATATATATATATATATTCATATATCATACAGCTATTAATCTTATTAACAAGGTCAGCTAAGTATCTCACCCATCTCCAGGTACTCATAGAACAATCCCAGCTGAGTGAAGTTCTGCAGGACGTGGTCCTGCTCCCAGCGGCTGTAATGGTTCTCAGGATTGTGCCGTCCCTTTCTGCTACTCCACCAGTTACGCATCAACCTAACAAGAAACCCATGAAGAGGAAACAGACGTCAAACTGCGAAGACCTGAAGTTTGGATTTGCATAAAGGCAATAAGATATTTCCAGAAAGAGATAACACCAGCAGCACAGTAACGACAATATTAATAGTTTCAGTCCTCTTGGCTCATTGGCTGAGTAGCTGCTGCATTTCTAATTCTATATGTTCTATAAATATCTCCAACTTTTGGGTCACTGCTTGTTTATTGACATTCGGCCAAATTATTTTCCACCAGAAGTTACATTACAAACACCAGAATGTTCTAACTTGTCATATATAGTATAAGCCTGATATGCTGTCATTTGATGCCGTCTTCTCTGAAGTCGTTGCCTAGTAATGGCTAGTAATGTCTTGTTCTTGGCAATACACAAACATTAATCTAACTTGTAAATCCTCCCCATGACCATGTAACATGGGTAAAGTCAGACATGGTCTAATTCTGTGTATCCCTTTGTCAAAGCTTATTGTTTAATAAACTGTGTTTTTGAGGTAGAGCAGCAAAAATGGTATTGAATGTAAATCATGAGGTGAAAATAAAACTTAAGTGTGTGAATCTAAAATGGGAAAGCTGTGTAGTAGGAAATTATATTTACTGATGGTGATTCTACTTGCACCCACTTGATGATAACTTGTGCACACAACATGTTGATCTTGTAAAAAGAATGAATACAATTAATGCACTAAAGATTAGCAACATGCAAACTGTTCAATAAAATCCTCTATTGAAAATGATTATCTTGTTGTGGCTTATTGTTAATTACTCACTGAGGTGAATAACTAAGACTAGGTGGAGGACAAAGAATTGATGGACTCACGGCAGCAGAGCTTCCTGAATGTTCCCCCATAGTTGTTTTCCTGCCATAACTATCACCAGCTGTGTGGTCAGCTCAATCAGACAGCCTCCAGGGTCACACTAGGACAGCAAGAGGTTTTTAGTTTATATAACACACCACACTGGTGTTGGTACACCAGATTATAAAGCTGCCCTAAAAAATGTTAGGGGAAAGGTATGAACCTGTATGAATGAATCTGCACATCTAAGTTTAGTACATGAAGTAACTAACATTGTGTTTTAAAGGTCCAGTGTGTTGGATTTAGTGGCATCTGGCGTTGTAGTTGCAGATTACAACTCCAACACTTCACCCTCCCCTTCCAAGCACAAAGAAAAACTACAGTGGCTGCGAAAAACATAAAAAACTCCCTATCTGTGCCAGTGTTTGGTTTGTCCCTTCTGGGCAACTGTAGAAACATGGCGGTTCAACATGGCAGACTCCATGGAAGGTGACCTGCGACGTCTGTAGATAAAATGGCTCATTCTAAGGTAACGAAAACACAAGTACACTTATGAAAACATACCTATGTATATTATATTCCATTTCTGCCAAAAAAGACTCCTAAATGTTACACACTGGGCCTTTAAGTGTTTCAGTTAAGTGCAATAAAGGGGAAGAAAAACTCACCTCCTCATTCCTCAGTTTGCCAAACATATATGAGTATTTACCAGGATGACCCACAAATTTGCCTTTGAAGAAGGCCACATAGAAGCACGAGGAGTAGTAGTTGACAAACTGGAACAGGAACATCTTCATGGTCAACCTGTTCTCATACTCGAGGTGGGTCTTTGGTATTTCTGAAGAAAGCGAACAGTTTGAAGATTAAGGTCAACAGCAGATAGTAGATCAGTGTAATGTGTTAACAGTGTATGTTCCGTGTTTTTTGAATATGAAAAGACAAAATGATGAAACAGATTATTGTGTCTCTGATGCAGTAAGTGTCAGATTAAATCTCTTTATACCCATATCAGTGATCCAAATGGCCACCCTCTCATAAAAGAAGTTGAGGATCATGATGATGACAAAGTTGATGCAGGAGGCAGTGACTGAAGTCGCTAGCTGTGGAGTGATGAATCTGCCCACCACTTGGATCTTCCTCATAGGGTCTTTAATGATACTTGCAAAGGCAGCATACACAGCCAGCCTGTATGCTATGACCCCAATAATACAGGCCAATATCAGAGAAATCTGTGGAGGGGCACACACATAAAAAGCTGTTGAATATGGGAAACTATGCATTATTGTATATAACTCACACACATGTATACACAAACACTGAGTTACCCAGAATATAACAGTGGCTGCTGAGAGGCAGAAGCGGGCACACTTGCTGGTGATGGGGAGATATGGCTCCATTTCCTGAAAAATTAGTAGTTAATATTATTAGAATTGATTGTTTTAAAAGTAGCCACCATGTTGTTACTTGTGACCCACAGCGTACATAATATGTGTCATGTTTATTTCTATGTTTGAACGAAGGCTTCGAAGCACCTGAGTGATCTTGTTGAGTCTCCTGTTAGTGCAGCGGATCTCGAACTCTGGCCTGATTTGAAGCTGTTGCTGTTCCTCTTCAAAGTCCACCAAGTCCCACTCGTACTCCAGTCGAGCTTGACGCCGTTTCCAGAACTCCAAAAACAGAGTTACTGCCAAATACACGAAGAAAGAAAACATTGTAAAATCTTAGTTTGGGAGTCACTTCTAACAAATAGATTCTGAGAACATTTGAGTCTTTGTACAGGTGTTTTTACTGGACTGATCTTTTACGACAATATTGGCCTTTGCACTGACTAAAAACAGAGTGCCTGTGTTGGGTTTTAGGAGTTTAATGAGTTTCAGCTGTGCCATGACTCTCCTTGGCCTAGAGTGTGCTGGGCAGGCTATGACTGCTTAGTACATAACAACATAATTGTGCTGGCAAGTTGCTCTGGGCTGAAACAGTATGGACAAATGTTGGTGCTTCAGTATGAAAAGGCTTTAACTGTGAAAATCTGTCTCACAAGAGAGGGAGCAAATTGGATCTCGTACACAGGTTAAACACACAAAGAGAGGCATCGACTGACACTTACCCCAAATCCCCATAAATATGGCAAAGAATATCGTTCCCTCATTATCAAACAGATGGGATTGCTGGAAGACAGAATATGGAAAAGAATAAGTTCCTCAGAGAAGCAGAAGACACGCTGAGCATAAACAGGATGACACACTGCTGACTCAGCAGGATACAATTTACTGCTTATATTTGAGTAAATTACTTATTTCACACACTTGGGTTGTGAAATTCAAGCTTTTATATAGTTTTAAGTAATTGTTGGATTTTAATGGTGCTGAATTAACCTACTAAAGGCTTACTATGCAGACAAACAAACATTATCCCTCTCAAATGTCACTTATGACCCACTAGAAGTGTGTGGTGGTGTCTGTATCTGCCCTCTGCCTGTACTTTACTATTTAGTTGTGTGTGGGACGTTTCTGGGCATCAACCTTCTGTCAGCGTGCAGGGTTTGTGGTCAGGACTGTATAAAAATGACTAGGCAGTGACCACGTTACATCGCTGTCTTAATTTATCTCTTTCCTCTGCTCCCTGTCATGTCATGTGTCATGGATGCATAATGAGTTGCAGTTGCTTTAGCGATGCCTCAGCTGCATTCCCACAAACTCCCAAAATTATTTGTGCTTTCGTACGTAACCGCTGCAAAACAATTAGCAACTAACGTTTTACTTATCTTCCCTCTCTTCATTCATTCTATTTGTATCTCGACCAAAGGTGAGCTCTCTGGCTCAATTAAGCTGGCGAGAACTTTGATTGGTGCTTTTACAAACAGCAACAGACAAATCCTGCATAATATGGCTTTAAGTGTAATGTTTTACCCAGGATGAGAGACAGGTTGAGTTGAGCCTCCAGAAAGGACACTTTTTATCACAAAGTGGACACATCACAATACTGCCTCCAATATCAGCGTCACATATTTCTTTGCTGGAAGGAGAAAAAACAATTAAAAAAATAAATAAATACAGTATTTCTTGAAAGTTGTCACTTTAAAAAACATTATATCTATCTAACATCCAGTTTTCAAAAGAAAAATTGAAATCAGTCTTTCAAGCATATGGCCAAAAGTATGTGGATACCTCTGTCTTTTGAGTACTTTTGGTTTGATGCTGCTTTTCATGGTTTGGGCTGGACCACCCTTAGCTTCCAATTAAGGGAAATCTTAATGCAACAGCATACAATATTATTTATAACAATATAAGACACCGATTGTGTGCAGACTGTGAGCCATGGGAGCAAACCCCTGCATCCAGGTTTCAACATCCTGGATCTTTATGCCCATGGTTTTGGGGGTCATATATAGGTCACATATGGGTGGAATAGTCAGATGCCCATATACTTATCATATGATTATCAGCTCCCTGGTGCCCTCTGGTGGTACTAACCTTGATATGTTGTCATCATAACTGAGCACTCCATAGGTGAAACATATAACTCCCATGACAGCTGCAAAGAACAGCATCTCTGTGTAGAAGCCCAGCCAGGCAAAGTAGATCCCAATCTTTTCCCCATAGTACTTCCTAGAAAACACACAATCAAACAGAACATTTTAAAATACATATTGAGTGACTTCAAACAAAAGATTACAGTCTCCAGGTGTTGCTTGTTTACCTGATGAGGTTAAGAGGTTGCTCTTTGTAAAAGCAGAGAAACCTGGCCCAGTGGTTGTACAAGTTGTAGCGCTCACTCTCACATTCGGCATTTCTTGCCCTTTTCCAATATCGGCACTGAAAGTACAGGAAACAATGGGCTGCTGAGTGAAAGATCTTTAGTAATTAAGGCGGGGTCAGTCATTCTGGAGAGGGATAGTTGAGAGTCAAATACTGCAGCTTTGGATTATGTGAAATGAGAAACAAACAAGTGGCTCAGAGAGAGCCACACAACACAAGGTGGCATTCATGCTTCCAGGTCATCAAATATGACAACCAGGGAGCATGAACGACAGAATGAAACAAGAAAGTGAATAAACCTGTCTCCAGAAATGTCAAACTACTCCTTGAACCCTTCCTAAATATTTTTTATTATATTATTATATTCAGTTTTTTACATTTTCCTTGAAGAGAAAATAATTCATATTTTCATTATTTAGGAACAAATAAACTACCAATATGATGGAAAATGAGTCCTGAGGTTGACACTATGCTGATTAAAATATCAGTGCTCTGTAACAGGGAAATACACAAACAAATTATACAAATGTACTAATCAAGTCCTGTATTCAATGTCCAATTGACTACTACGCTACACTTATTACTACAGAACCACTTTTTTAAATAAGTGGTAGTAGAAGTACAAAATGCATTAACAGTCAAATATACAAATTTTACTGACCGTCTGTTTTTTGTTCAAAATACAAGCAGCATTTCAATGTTGTGTTGCCAAGTATTTAATATGGATTTGGGTTACGTATACTCCCAGCATCATATCATAAATCTTGTATGTTGCAGTCTCAACCCGCAAGAAGTACAGATAAAAGTAGCAGTGAGATACAGTTTTCTCCCCCTGTAATGATGTATCTGTAAAAAGTGCTAAAGTAAATTGCCAGTATCTAAAAGTTGTTTTTTATTTCAGTAAATATACTTAACATTTGCATATTTATGTTCTTTACGTGTGTCTTACATCATGTAGTGGGAAAGCTGCCGTGTACGTCCCGTTGCTGAGTAGTCGCTTGATTCCCGTCTTGTCTTTATCTTTCCGACCCTCTTTGTAGTACGGACAACGAGCCAGGATGTAGAACACCTAACAGCAAGGAAGGGATTTAACTAGAGATTAAGGGATTTGGATTTGTAGGAACTTTTGAGCTAAATTCATTTCATATTCATCTATTCATCTCATAACATCTCTACAAAGTCTTCTACGGTCAGCCTGAGATCATTCATTAATAAATACTAGAATGTTAGAAAGAACACATATTTACGATTTAAGAAGTTAATTCTGATTTTAAAAAAGAAATATTCACAATTCTGTTTCTTGTGGAAGGCGGGAAGAAAGTATCCTTGTCAGTGATGAGGAAGAAGTCGGTCTTGGTCTTGTCAAAGGGGTAGGTAAAGTAATCAGGCTGTGGCCGCATGATGTGCTCTGGCAGACGGAAAGGATGTGAGAGCCACTCCAGTGGGACATCCTGGCCATGGGGGATATCACTCTCCTTGAAGGGAACTTTGATCTTTAAGACATCAGCATAGGTAGCCAGTACTTCCCACGGAGCATGAATCTTCAAGAAATATGTCTTTTGGTCCTTGGAGTCCTGATAGTACAGACAGAAGACAGGACAAAAAAAAACTTAAAAAACTTAAAAAATTGTAACTATTTATCAATATTTTTTACACAATTTCCTTGAAATACTTGGATGGATGGCAGTAAAATGTGTCTCTTACTGATCTATCCCTTTAAGATTTCTGTAGAATAGGGTGTGCCATAACAAGCTGTCCACTAGGTGGTGCAGCTACTCTGTGGTTGAATTTCTCACCGATTTGTCATCTGTCTCCAGCTCCAGTCCTGCTTTCTCAAGGTTGGCCTCAAACTCCCTCCTCCTTTCCTGTGGATAATTACACAAACCACAAGCATAAGAGCTACACAAACTCATACAGTCTTAACATGTTTTCTCCTTTAACCATCCATGCTTAGAAACATTTAACAAAGCCCCTGTCTGAGGTTCAACAACAACAACTTGTCTCTTTTAAGATGAGGCATTTTTGAAGTTCATTCCCATTGACTGTTTGTTTTTCAGGTTAAATCTTAAACTCAAACATATGGAGACTGGTCAAACAGGAGGCATGAAGTGGGTGTGATAATGGCCATGAAGTTTCACAAACAACTACTGTTACAAAAATACTGTTATAACTTCCAAATGGATTTAGGTGACAGTTAATGTCCCTATCAATAGACACTGACCTAGTTAGATATTTGGGTGGTACTGGGGAGCACATTTATGTTTTAGATGCAACGCTGCCAAATTTTCTGTCTGCTACAGTGGAAGAAGGATGACCCTGGAAAAAAATGTAGTGCAAACTGGCCGTATGATAATATACCGATAACACCTATACCAACCTTTTGTACATTAAGTGCTTTTAAAATTACATGAACATTTTAAATATACATTCAATTAAGATTGAATAAATAAACAAAATAAACAGATATTAACGCTGATGTTAGAAAAGTTGAGTCTTAAACATATTATTATATTAATACTACTATTTCAAGCAATTTTCAAAGGTTGCATGTCACATATTCATAGGCAGGCTATCTATAGTAACAAAGGGCTGCCTTTTCAGAAACACTAACATCACTTTAAACTTATGAGCACAGTGTAATCGTTGGTACTGTTGTGGTAATGTGCAGCTCCCAGCTGTGTATCTGTGAAAGTTAGCACGATCTCCCTGGATACATAAGAATAAAAATGTGGCACTTCAATTGAAGTCCAGGACAGATATTCTTATGATGATGTAGCTATAACATACTTAAAAACAGGAAGACTTTTAACAGCCCTTTACAATGCATGTTGGTGCACAGCTATGCAGAGAGCCAACACTTCAAACAAAGGTTAAAGATAAGGAGTTGGCCATTGAAGTCTTCAGTGGAAGCAACTGTGAAACTGTGGAAACCGTAATGGACAACAAATTAAATTATAGTGATCAATTCAGGAAACAATGAAGTTCCATGAACAAAAGTTAGACCAGAGGTTTATTAAAAATTCAAGTGAAGTAACAAGGAGTAACAAGGAATAGACTGGCTGTCAAATTGGATACATTGTGATTCATGCTAGGAAGAAACAAAACATCACCCATGGAAGAAGTCGACAAGAGTAGTAAAATAGTAAAAAGCCAGACGGTAATTATACAAAGAAGTTAATAAGAATTTTTTTTTTGGCACTAGTCCTTTAATATTGGATATCTGTCATTCAGTTTTTGGCCTCTATCAACTCCTCAGGAAAATATCTTTAGCGGCTGAATGCTCCTTTGCGTTCACCAGCTAGTCGCTAACTGTGTCTATATGCCAGTTGCTGCTGAGCAGGTAGCGTTCAGTGGATTTTTAAAGTATTTTCAGTGGCAACAGCTAAATGCAGTGGCGAGACTTGAAACGAAGCAGTAAAGTTGTTGACTGCGATGCTACACTACGAGCGACCCCCTTCATGTTGTCACACTGTAATGTGATAAATAGTTCTCAAATATTATTATTATAGTTCCTTTAAAATTGTAAAAATGGTATGTTTCTACTAAGTTCCTACTCTGTTACACACAAGGAAATAATTTAAAATCTGTTCATTGCTTCAGGTCACAAATGTCATGTGTCTACGTAAAATATAAAATCTGAATCTCACTTCCTTTTTTTGTATTCCTGTTGTGGATATAAATTGTGTAATAACACCAACAGTACCACAGTTAGTCACTGGGCACACTGTAAAATGCTGAGTAGTCAACTAACGGCAACTTACTACATGCTTTTAGCCCTGATTTTGTCACTCGCCAACTGTTTTGGGAGCCAAATGCCCCCAGGTCAGAGGCAAATCGCTACCATGAGGAAGTTCATGTTGTGTAAACTGTTCAAAGATTTGACCTGCGATGCCCCCAAAAAATGTAGCAGGCTATACATCTGGTCGTGTTGTATGCAACGAGCTACAGCCTGTCACACAAATATAGTTCATCTTCATGGATTTTATTGATGCCAAATTGACAAGAAGGCTGTCAACATATGACACCCTTTATTGTTGTTTAGTGTTGTTACAACATGTGAGGAATTGTTATTATGTAATATTTAAGGAGTTTGGTGTAGAAAACCTTTAATTCAAACTGCTAATTTGTCACCGCAACAGAAACACTGGGCAACTGCTATAGTATGATAAGGTTGTCTGGCGTTGATAGCTGTTAGCTATTAGTTTGATTAATGGTTTAATAATGTGTGTATTGATTACTGATGCTGGCTGATCAGGCTAATTATCAGCTTATTGTACTCAGTTTCTTATGGCAACATGCTGTAAAAAGTTGCCCTTTGTGAGTGTTTTAAACTACTTTCCTAATTAAAGATGATGTGCTTGTTATTAATGGTGTTATTAATGACTCCTGATGAAACGTAGTTTGGAGACCAGACAGACTGCTTGTGCAAGATATTGCAGTGTAAGACCCCCTGTTGCTGATTAGTCACATAGTGTGAAAACTATGACGTCAGGACTCCTGATATAAGACAGATAGTTGTGTAGTGTACAGTACAGTACAGTGATCTGATGACTGTGAAAGTCATGTAGTCATTGTCCAAGGCTTTACCTGTTTCTTTTCTCCATCTTTGTCATCTACGTAAGACAACACAAAGTCTATTCTTCGAACTCCATCCCTGAAGAACACGGTGTCTTTGTTTGGTTGTAGCTTGTCTGTCTGAAGGAGAAACAACAGGCACAAAATAACACTTAAAGCTTTCTGATGGGAAGCAAAAGCAAACGGACATGAAATACTTGGAACACAACAGATACTGCCAGTGCACAGGAAAAGTATTTTCAGAGAATATTGTTTCCTGGTGAGAAACGTTCAGAGGGAGGCCACGATGACTGTAGAAAAACCACATTAAAACAGGACATTTTGGACACTGTACAATCACAGCCTATCATTATATAAAAATAGTTGATGGTGGAGGAGAAATGTGCTCTACATGTTCTATATCAACTTCTATATTTCAGTCAGTCTTAAAGGAGCAACGTGTAAGATATGGCTAGAGTTATAGATCATGAATGTTAAAAAAACATTCAAAAAAGTTGGATTTTATGATGTTGGTGTTTGCAGGCCAGAAAAACACACATCTGAAGGCTGGTTGAATAAAGTTTTATTTTTTTGAGTGTGACAAAGAGCTATACTATAAATTGTTGTCAAAGGCGTGGAGCACCCAGTATGTTCAGTAGTTTATTGAACCCCACCCCGCTTGTTTATCAGACCCTCACATCCACTAACAGACCTCGCTGTAACAAGGGTGTGGACACTGCTCATTAGATTGTTCATGTTCTGACCTAATGAGAGCATTAAAAAGTGCTTGATAGATTAACACTGATGGGAAAGTGTTCCATTCCCGGAGTCATACATCAAAGAAACATAATATAATCAGTGTTATCAATTAAGAAGGATAAAGCATCTGCTTGTTGGCCTCACTGTATCACTGAAAACCCAACAGACTGACAACTGTTCCTGTTTGAGCAGCGACAGTTTATTTCTGTCTTGCTGTTAGAGAGGGAGCTTTGTGAGACACAGGTCTTGTGACTCAGTGATGAGAACGGTGATTCAGCAAAAGGTCAGTCATCTGCCTACAAATTACACATAACATAAACAGTGACATAAATATTTTTGTGGGGAAAAAAAAACAGGTTCTGGAAATATTTAAAGCCACCTCCGTTATCGATTGCTGAAAATGTTATATAAGACAGGTGTCGGATTGTAACAGATCAAATCAAAGTAAGTACAGTAATTGTGAAGCTACTGATTATTAGCACAAAGAATGAAATCAAGTTGAGCTCTTGACATTGACATAAAGTCATCACAGAAACTTTTTAAAGGGACAATGTGTAGTATTTTAAGTATTTTATTTGCTAAAATCAATGTCTTCATT